CTCGCTCCGTGGTGCCTCCACAGGCTGCTCTGCCCAGAGCAGAAATTTCCCTTGGCAGGGCTTCCCTGGCCAAGCCTCAGCGCTGGAGCCAGGGCTGTTTGATTTGGACTGATTTGCGGATTTGGGAACTGCAAGGAGAGTTTCCCCATTTCTGTGCCAAAGCTTTTCCCAGCAGCTCCTGGAAGGAGTCGGCTGGAGTGAAAGGGGAGCACTGCTGCAGCCCGGCCTGCTGTTCCCGGCAGCGCAGGACACAGAGCCGGCACCTTTCCGCAGGAGGCAGCTTGAGCAGGGACACGACCCTGGTGCTGCGGGGACAGGAGAGGCGCCAGTGTCCATGTGCCAAGCCACGTTTCTCTGCCCAAGCTCGTGGCAGCCGTGATGCCACCACGCCAGGGCAGGAGCACGGCGCAGACCACAGCCACGGGAGGGGCTCCACACCAATGCATCATCCATGGCCGTGGGATGGGCTCCACGCCGCTGCACCCGCAGCCACGGGGTGGGCTCCACACTGATGCACCCGGACCAGGAACTGTCCCCGCCATGCATGCTGAGCCAGGGCTTTGGGGTACACAGCCCTGTGCCAGGGACGATGCTGCTGTCGCCGCACACCTACCAGTGCCCGTGGTCCATGTGCTGCCGGATGAGTGTGTGTGGGGCCACGGTGCCATACTTGTCCACCTCCGGCATGTTCATGTCGTCGATGAAGTAGATGAGCCGCCGGGTGCCAGGGGGGCCGTAGTTCCTCCCTGACTTCTTCTCAAGGGGCTTCTCAAGAATGGCTGCAGCAGAGGAGAGCAGGTGGAGCAGGGGGAAGCACCGCGGCCCAGGGCCCGGCAGCACAGCCTAGCCACCGGCTCCGGCCTGCCCTTACCCTGCAGCATGGCCGAGGTGGTATAGAAGTTGAAGGGCACAGACTGCACCAGGTAGTCATCTGTGCTGAGCGCTTCCAGCTTGTCGCCCATCATGACCGATTTCCCTGTCCCTGCGTTCCCCACCAGCATCACGGGCCACTGCTTCTCCATCAGCAGGTCCATGAAGTAGCGGATCCGGACGGTCTCGGTCGTGTGCACCATGGATGCCTGGGGAATAAATCATGTCAACCCCGACAGGACGTGTCTCCTGCTGCAACAGTCTGAGGGCACAGCGGGACGGGGTGCGGGCAGAGATAGCATCCGTCTGTAGAGCAGCTGGCAAGATGCCTGAAGTCTGGTCTCATTTTGCAGCTATTCCAGTTAGTCTAATGAAAGATATTACCTCTATGTACAAATCTGGTCCCTCTCTAACATGAAAGGTCTCAGAGGCCTGGTTATTCTAAAGGCTTTCCAATCAAAAATAGGAGCTGTCAGAGAACCATGTTATTAAAACAAAACGACTCCTGAAACTTTCTTCCTGTGTCTCTGTTTGGCCAACACATAGATAGGCACTTCCCCCTTCCCATGACAACCTCAGTATAACCCCACACACCTGCCCCCC